ATGAAGATCCAGAGGGTTATAAACATAGAAAACAGCCTCACTAAACTGTAAACACAGACATTTAGACCAAAGAGGTTTCTTTTTCATTTAAAGAGGAGTTTACTAAATGGGATTCACAGACATTCACGTGCGGGTGTGCATGTCAGGCTGCAGCACCACGTCCTCAAAATAAATTTTAAAAAGTCAAACAAAATCGTTCTTCAGCCAAATAATTTAGCACGATCTGCCATTTCAGATCACTGCAAGCGGGAGAATCGTGATGAATTGGGAAGACGCGAGGATCATAGGGACTGAGGAGCATAAATACAGGCACTGGATCCAGGAGGCCACTGAAATCAGGAAGCAAGGCTCACACACAATCAATAGAGATGATGGAGCGTTCCTTCTATCCCACACCTGGGACGCTCTGCTCCAGAGACCACCGCGTGGCGATAGGTGTGGCCAAACTGACACACCCACTGGATCTGTCAGATTGGCCACACCTAGGAAAAACAGCTGATAAAGACGCGTCACACATGTCAGATGACACTTCTGAAGAAGGCGACAGATGGAACGCCGTAACATGTCAAGGGACAGCTAACAACTTCATACCATTGTCCTATTACAAAGAAATTCTTAAGTCTACTTGTACTTTGAGGACAAAATGAACATCTTTGCTACATATACTGTAGCTTCTCTCCTCCTGGACATCCCTTTAAAACCACCCAATACCTGAAGGTGTCAAATACCATCGAACACATTTTAGAAACACTTTTTCAAGTCATGCGACTAACCTACTGCCACGACTTGCAGTGAATCTGCATTGCACAATCTGAGTATATTTTTTCACCTTTTACTGAATTCTGAAATCTTACACTTCAATAAACAACTAAATTATTTTTTTAGTGGCCTTATTCTCAGCTTTGCAGCAGCCTGTCAAACTCCAAACCTTTCCAGCATCAAACATAAACACAAATGGTCATGGACCAACAAACACATGTGCAGGCTGATACATTAAACATCAACACTCCTGCAGATACAAACTTCTAACAGAAAAAGTAGCTGCAGGTTAGAGTGAAGCAGAATCCTCTAGTGAACCTTAAAAATAAATATTTTAATGCCAGAGGCTACTTAGTGGGCATCCTTGAGGGCAGTGAAAGTGTTGAGTCAAACTTCATGTTGCATTAAGTTTCCCCCTGAGGAAGAGTTCCTGCTACTTGAAGAAGCACGTACATTACTTATGACTGACCTGAGAGGAAATTTAAAGAACCTAGTGTCGGCTGAAAGTGATTCATATCAGTCACTGAAACAAACTATTTCTGATGCCGTTTCAGTCATTTTCTGATGTAATTCGTTGGCCCCAGAATAAAAGTTATTTGCTGTCATGGAGGTTGCAATTCTGAGGACAGCTGACAGTCTTTGCATTTTTTCCCCCCCAAATCAGATAAATAGAATAAATGTTCTAACATGCCAGGTTGTGACAGGTGTATTTCATTTACAATCGTGTCTCTCTGTTCATACCGAAGGGTCCAGGGAGATGATTCGGACGGTGTTGTCAACCAGTCCAACAGCCAGGAACCGAGAGCGCTGCTCACCAGGTGGAACGTTGGCCAGACTCATGCAAACCACATCAGCGGACATCTCCTTCCTCTCTGTGTACTCGTTCAGCTGGCCGGACTAGAGAAAAACAAAAGCGAGAAAGAGAGCAACAGTATTATTATAGTATTTAACATTAGTTTTATCTGATACTCTTCAGAACAAAAAGAACTACTGAGGTGAAGGTAATGATATTTCATTTTTATAAACTGAGAGGCAATTCAATTGCGCAGACATTTCTGAGACAACAGTTTTGCTAATATTAAGTGTTTGGTCTGTTAATGTCAATATTCTACTGACTACTGGGGGGGAGGGGGTGATGATTAATATTCAAAGCTAAAATACAACAAGTAAAATGTTGAACATGTTTCAGATACACACAATCACTCTGCCCTTACATGTAGTCTACAAAAAGCAGCATATGGGATTTTAAAGCAAACTATTTTTCCACTATTTGAGTTTTATTAACTACCAAAATAACAAACAGTGTTTTCATTTACTATAGTGAGAAACAAAACACCCCAAATGCAAAACAAATGCACTGCTTTTAATCCAGACCACATCTTTTTCTTTTGACAATTAAACCATAAAAAAAAATAAAATAATTTCAGCCATTCTGACCATGTGAAGTATATACACAATATGCCAATGGTATAGAATTAAAATATCTTCTTTCTTACCGGGTCCATCTCAAAGTAGACCAGCTCCCCTCCAGTGAGGGCGATAACGACTTGCCGCTGGTTCACGGCACAGCGGACGATAGTCTTTTTACCAGGAGTCTTCCACTCATTCACACGCTTGTCTGCTCGGATGTGACGGATACCATCTGGGTAAACCTGTTAAAAGGGAGGCAAAGCAGGAGAAATAAGACGGAGAGAGAGACACATTTAAGTACTAGATTGGTTGTTTCTCATTAAAAACTATTATTTCCCTTATTCTATCAATTCTTGGATTCTGTAGTTAATCTTATGAACCCCAAAACACACCAGCAGGTTTGAAGCGTATGTTATTTTGTTAGTCTTCAAAACTTAGGGAAGTAAGTATGCAATGGCTTTGAAGGTACACATTTCAAATCCCCTTCGAACTAATCTTTGCAGTTTTTTTTCTTATCAGTGACATTAGTATTAACTGAAATCATCAAAACTGCTCATATGTAACTGTATCACTTGTGCTTTTGTCTGCAGCATCCACGTGGATGCTTAGATGATGCTGAAGGTACATTTCACCCACCTGCACGAGAGCGTCCTCGCCCAGCAGTGAGCAGGACAGAGTGGGCGTTGTTCCCAGAAACCCAGAATCCGTCACTTCCTCTACAGTCTCTCCGATGGACAGAACCAGAGTAGCGTTGACGAAAGACACGATGATGTAGGCGTCAAACTCGTCTAACGGACAAGGACACACAAAAGAGTAATGATTAGACAAACATTAGTGATGGAGCTGTTCTGAGCCTGAATAGGACAAATAAATGAGCAGGGATAGAGACCGCAAAAACATAAAACGACAGCATAGCAGAGTGAAAGACGTGTAATACAAACCTACTTTAGGCCACATTTAAGTACCATGTTTTGAGCAGGCAAATGGAAGCTTTCACATCCGCTTGATTATTTGCATGTGTTTACATTTTTTATCCTATTTAACACATAATTAAACATTTGGCAGACCATGGCTGGGACTTGCCTTTGCCTCAAAAACAAACAAACAAAAAAAACAAAGCTAAAACAGTACACATCACAAACTACTGTGCACCTCCGAGAAATATAAACTGCACCTGCGGTTTAGTAAAATCCACTTGCTGTATCACTTAAAAGCCAGCAGAGGTCACTGTGTCTGCGGTTTAACAGACACCTGCTGCAATCATTCGTCTAGAAGTTACCTTTATAGTCGTGTCTCACAATTGTTTAAGGTCATGGTAATGTTATTTTCACACTAATTTAGTCATAAGAAAATGAAATTCGGGAAAGTCTGGTGTTCAAATTGATCCATATCTGTTCCATTTAGCACTCACTTTTGTTGTAGGCAAATTCAATTTCTAGTTCAGCTGGATTTAGTCTAAACTTCAGCTAAGTCACTCAGCTGCAAAGTGCCAGAGCAACACTCATTATTATTTCTGCATTAGCCATGTTTGTACACTCAGCAGTATAACAAAAACAAGTGAATAGTGAAATGTATTTACTCAGACAGTCTAAGGATGAACTTTCAAGCCTCTAACTGAAAAGCTGGTGTAAATGAAAGATTAGGAAAAAGCCGTTTGGAGCAGGATCGTTCTTACCTTCGACATGTCTGCGTACTGTCCACACAGCGTTAGGATTACCGGGCAGCTCAGACACAGCCATCTCTGAAACCTGGCAGAGACGAATAGAGAAGGAAACAGAGGGGGAAAAAACAACAATGCTTTGTCAATATGTTGACATTTTCCAACTCATTTTGATCTACTGACAATACCAATATGTGCACATAAACATGTTTTCTATCCAACTGCAGAGTCTCTTCCTTACTAGAATTAACATATTATTATGTTTACTGCTACTATAATGGCCTGATGGCAGTTGCTCACATAAAACACAACGCTTTTCAAACAGTAACATTTACTAACACTTGCCAAATATGTATGCTGTTTTTAGCTTCTCAAATGTGAGGAATGCTGCATGTGTGCATACTAAACTGAATATCTTCGGATTTAGGAATGTTGGTCAGATGAAAAAAACACATCTGAAGATATCATCACGGTCTGTGGAAAATTCTAACAGATATTTCCAAGTCCTTTCTTAACTATTTGACACTGCTTGGTTTTAGAAACTCTGCCTGTAACTCTAAGAAGAAAAAAGAAGACTGGATTGATTATAGTTTTTGAATCCGACTAATCCACCAGACTTTGCATTTGTGCTGAGATCAAGGTGATGGACTGTTCAGTGTGTATTCACAGGAAAGAAATTTAAAAACTCCTCAATTTGTGTGTGTTTACCTCCAATCCGTGCCGAAGGACCCTTAGAGTAGACCTCGGTCCTCGTCCACAGGCTACATACAGCTGAGGTGTGTCTTCATTGGCCAAATCAGCAATCTGTCAGAAAAAAAAGTAGCTGGTGAGCCAGTATGAACATACACTGGAACCGAAACCAGAAACAATTCAAGCCCTTCCTTCTTCCTTCCTCCAACACACCCACCTGACAGGACATGATAGGCGACAGGTTCTCCTGTTCATCCACCAGCACCAGGTTCTTCAGCGGGCGAGGCTGGAAGAAGAAGGTGTCTCCCTCTTCCAACGGCATTGCAGACGAGAACTCAGGCTCTTCGTCATCATCGCCCAAGTGAGCAATTTGGTAAAGGTAACTGAAGTGAAACAAAGACAGACAACATGGGTGAAGCTGCCGTCTTGGCTGATGCACTCGTCGTTGCCCACACACACTGTTACATCAACACAGCACCATAATAAAGACTTCTGTGCCATCTGGAATCCTTATGCTCGACTGACGGATTGTACGGATGCATGTGCCTTTTTCAAAGCTTTCAATCACATCTCAGCAGATAAAATTAGCCTAAATTCACAGGTCAGCTTTACAGAGAGATGTAAAACTAGCCAAAACAACCCTACATTAAAAGCTCTGCCGTTGAGCTTTTTGCTAGCTTAACTCGTGTAATGCTCTCTGCTTGCCAACATGAAACTGCCTCCTCAGGTTTCTAAATCATTGAACAGTAACGCTAGATACTACAGTTAATCAGCAACACACTTTCTGACATGCACATAAAGAATACATGTTTTCCTCGTCGCTTGGAGCTTGTAGAGCAACACTACATCCCACACTCTCCACACTACATTTTAGACAGCGCATTAATGGAGAGTTACAACAAGGTTGCTGACCACCCATTAAGAAACAGCTTGCATGCAGAAATGCAGCTTTTTTAAAGCACTGCAGAGCTTTTCAGTTGTCAAGCACGTCCACTTGAGTGACTTTAATAAGGTTAATGTGACTGAAGTGAGTATTTTCTCACAAAATGGTATTGAATTGGGACTAAATAACACTAAATGTTAAGGATCAGAGAATTGATTAGGATAACCCTACAAAAAACAGAACTACAAATTAATTTCAACAATTTAGAAACCAAGTGATGTACAGTCTGAAACTTACTGGTTTCCAAACTCTGAAGAAACAAACAGGAAGCCAGTCTTCAGGACACACATGGCTGTTGCCACAGGGATTGTGTCGAAGTACTTCAGTCGGATTTCTGTGACCTAAGATGACACAGACATTATTCATAGCATGACGTTTATTTCAAACAAAACAATTCAATTTGGGGGTGCATAGTATATAAATAATACGAACAGAAAACGAGTGGTGTTAAAAGTTTGACATATTTCATAAAGTAAAATCATATTATTAGAATTAATAAGTGACAGATCTTTCAAAAGGCCCACTTTCCATCTGCACTCACCATTTCTTCATCTGTTTCTAGCGTAACTTTAAAGATGTCTCCCTGCTCAGTCTGGGCCAGGAAGAAGAACATGGACTTGGTCTTGTGGGTGGCTGAGCAGACAAATATCATGCCACGCTCTGGGTCATCCAGGTCATTCTGTGGGACGGGGCAGAAGAGAGTAGGTGGAGAAAAAGAAAGCAGAATTAAAATAAACATGCATACAGAGAGGAAAAACTGACAAAGAGTTGAGTGGGTGACTTAAATAATAACCAAACCGCCACATAAACAGGAAAAAACGGTTCCATTTATACTTATTGAATTGCGGCTTAAATCATCATAATCAGGAGAACTGTTGCATATTGAGAAGACGATGTATTAAAACACTGCCATATGATCAGCACATGAAGTCCTGTAGTATAAATATTTGCCTTTCCTGGTGTATTTCTACATATAAGACTCACCCTGCGTCGTGGGATGGGACAACGAATGTCAGGCTGGTCTCCAAAATTCTTGTAAGTGATGTAGTTTTCAGAGCAGATCAGAACTCCGCTGGGACCATCAGAACCACCAGGAACTAGAGAGAGAATATAACAGGATGTGTTTCTATAAAAGTCATGATCTAAGAGAAGGGTTAGCTCTATTTTACAGCTAACAGCTTCCCCTTACTACTCCATCGTGTGCTTTAATGTGTGTTAGTCTTGATAAACTTGTGCTGAGATCAGAGAGGTTGAATCTTTCTCCAGCGTCAGTCAGAGAAGAGACATGACAAACTCATCATATCTACAACACTTGGATGTACGCAATAATCTGCTGTACTCCAACAAGACAATGTGCAATCACCTTACAGCCATGCATGTCAATTTGCTTTTTCTAAAACAAATCTAATGCTATAAAGTTCCATATTTTAAATCTAACTCCAGGACATGTCATTTCCACTGTAGCTACCTGTGTGCAGACTGGTCTTCTTTACAGCCTAATCAATTATGAATTCATGTTAATCAGCTGATAAGTAGTGCAGCTATTGCTTCAGCCCTGATATGTGAAATCAACCTTACCTGTGATGAGGAAATTTCCATGTTCCTCCAAAGCTTCGCTGTACTTGCGCACCACGTGATTCAAGCCGAGATCCAGCTCATAAAAGGTGAGTGTCTGTTGTGTGTTTGCAGCTGCTTCTCCTGTTGGGTCATTGTCAGCTTCCTGGAAAAATTCAACATATCACCAGACAGGATCAGAGGTTGGTACAGTGTCTCCATCATGAGGTTCAATAGGAGTGTGACGGTATCACTTGTGGGCTGTTTTTATAATAATAAAGTGCTCTAACATTTTCTACTATGCTTTACGCTTGACTGCTGAAAATGAAAGCGCATGTTGAGATCAGAGGTGTGAAATCTTTCTCCAGTGACAGTCAGAGAAGAGACATGACAAACTCATCACATCTACAACAGTTTGATTTTTTGCAGGAAAAACTCTCATTTAGCAAAAATCTCTAAACGTTGTTTAATGTCCAACCTTGGTTTATCGTGATCTTACCTCGTAGTCCATTTCTAAGCAGGCAAACATTGGATTTTCAAAGCCGACATCGACTCCGACTACATGGTAGACCAGGGTGTTTGCTTTGTGGGCTTCCAGTGGAGAGGAGATGGTCAGTCTTGCAGCAGCATCTCTGTTCAGAATATAGACCAGCTTCTGTTTCTCTATCGCTCCTGGACAGGTGAAACACGAAACACAAAATATTTAATTTCACTGAACTTGCTTAAATGTAATTCTCACAAACACGGTTTTTCTATAGAAATGAAACAATCCCATTTTAGCAAACAAGACACATAATATATTACTACTGCACCAATATTTAACGTCTGATTATTCCAGAACTCAAAACTGAATTAATCTTTTTTCATCTGGACTGTAAGCAGAATAGTTTAATTCCCATTTTAAGTATGAGCTGCAAATGCAGCAAAAATAGAATTCTAGGAGCTAAAGGTCACACGAATCTGCAGGGGTCAAGCAGTGTAACATAAACGTCCACACAGACATCCATGTGCAGCCCATAATGTGTGACTGTGTGCACTGTGCAAGCCTGATGACTGCACCAGTGCCAGGAGGAACAAACGGTGCTGAAAACAAATTCTTTTTTTTCTTTTTTTTTTTTGAGGAGAGGTTGCGCGCAGAGGTCATCTACACCTTTTTAATTTGTCATTATGAGTTGCAGTGGCCTGATCTTTTAATTTCTCTTCCTCTGTGCCACATTAGCAGAGCTCTGCTTCTTGACTCAAGTTTTAAACAGACCAAATCACAGCACTGCAGCTGCTGATTCTGTCGTCTTCATTCAGATGATTTTTTGTCATGCAACACAAAACAACAAAACATTTCTCGTTCTAGTTTTCCATAATGTCTGAAGAAACACAGTCCAAAAATAATTTCTCAAAACATTAAACATCCATTAATAAGCAAAAAAGAAAGACCTCACTTAAAAAATTATGTAAACTGAAAAATACCATCTGCAGTCAACACAAATAACCTGAGTTGTAATTAAAGTAGCTACTGTGAAACTTTGGAGGTGCTATTCTGTCCATCAACGGTGCCCAAATTCTCCAGAAATCCTGTCCTATGTCCACCCACTGTGCTTGGAACAGGAAGGCAACAAACTCTAGCAATAGGCAATTTCACAGCGCTTGGCACACTTCAGGAACAATCACTGACACGGTGCCACAGCCCAAACTGTAACTATCTGAGATATCCCATAAAAAGCACAAATTCACAGCCTGCTTTTGAGAAAGATCCACAAGAGACCCAGGTGTTTTTCTAGTCGACGTTCAAATTCTGCATCAGTCAGCTCACAGGGGTGAAGAAACCATGAAATGGCCTTACAGCAAACATTACTGATGTGATAGCAATATTATTATGATTTACGCAGCATAAGCACATTAAAGCAGGGTAAAAAGGAATAAAAAGATAAAGATAAAGATAAAGATAAACTTTATTCATCCCGAAGGAAATTGTTTTGCCAGAGTACAGTTAAAGCAAGCAAACAATCCCTCTTTAACCATCCCCGATATCCACATGCCTGTAATTACAATATTCTGTTTATACTCTGATGATTTCCAGTGTCTGCACCACTCTGCCTTTTACTTATCTATATATTAAGTGACCTGAAAATAGAAACCCACTCGACACTGTAATGCAGTCCAATTATAAATGCACTGCAATAAATACTTATGCATAATAAATATCTTTAAAAAGCATGGTGGTTTCCTCATCTGTGTTTAGTACAAACGTATACATTTGATTTTAATTCTTACCTATCATAACAGCTCTGCCTTTTGGGTCGACAGCCAGGAACTGTCCAGGAACAATGCGTCGGCAGCCGCTCTTCCCAAACGTTTCCTGGTGGATCTTCTCAAACATGTTTTTTGATGGATGATACTCCAAGATGACGATACGGCCACTGTCACTACCCACGACAATGTAATCTACAAACACATAGATACATACATACATAAATACAACAACAATACAGGAGTCTATGCTTACACTTCAGTATTTTATTAATCGATGGTCATCTCCATCATCAGATCTCAGGGAAGCAAAGAGAAACCTTCTTCACACAATAAAAGATAATGCAAACACAGCAGCTAATTTATGCAATAAAGACCATTTAATGAAATAAGTACATTTACGAGGTGTACCTTAAAATATATAATCCATGTGTGTCGTCACAAACACGTGCATAAAATCTTGATTACATACCTTTGGTTCCTCCTGTAAGTCTGAAGGCCATCAGGGATCTTATGATGCCGAACACCTCCACTGTGAGAAGAGTGTGCACCTTTCCTGTGTTGGCATCTGGTCGCAATATTTCCAAGATTTTCCCTCTGGAAACAACAATTTCTTGCATCTTGGTTCCTACCAAAGCAGAAACATCTCATTTCAACATTTGTCATATGTCAGATGAGAGTTCTATTCATAAATAAGAGCTTGTATGTCTGTGCTTGCTGCCAACAACTGAAACTGCATAACCTGCAAACCACAGCTGCCATAAAGGATATTTATAGCACTCATGACAAAACTGGCTCAGCCTATTAACATGTCACCTTTGCATCCTGATTACTTAGTTCTTCATGTATTTGTTATAACGACTGCTTGGTTTTAAGCCCTGTATTTTCATGTCTGCTTTGTGCAGCACCTTAAAACTCTATTTTAGAAAGAGCTACCGCACTAAAGTTATCATTAACTGGTGCAAACTCACCTGAGAAGTTTCCATGGATAGCATGGGTGATGCCAGTGGCGCGCTGCAGGGTGATGTTGTAGAGAAACATGGCTCCCGTTTGGTTGGTTCCACACTGTGTTCTTCAGGGGCTGCTATCAGAGCGCTAAGCCCGGCTCAAAGCTAAAAATGAATCAAAAACAGCAGTGCATATGTGTTTATAATTAAAGGAGCTAACAAGTCGCTAAATGCTTTAAATGCAGCTTCAACTTTCAGTGCTGATAAATGAGGTATGTGTTAAAGAGGGCGATTCAAACTGGGCTAAGTTGCACTAAAGAGGGAGTACTATTACGGAACATTTAACTATTTTTCAAACAGTTAAACCATTTAAATTGATGTTATTATAAGGTAGCGGGCGGCTAAAGTGTCCGCTAGTAACTAACTTAAGTGTTTACATGCCAGCGCTGCTAACGTTAGCTAGTTAACTGCACTAAACGTTAGCTTAGCAATGAGGAAATAAAACTTCACTATACTCTATTCTTAGCTCATTTCACTCCTGGTTATAAAGCATGTAGGACAGCGTCTATATTCATTTAACTTTAATTTAGCCCTTTCGGCTCCTGTTAGCTTCTCGTCCACCAGCTCATCAGACTCCATTCATACAAAGCGCCACTTTTGCCGGACGCGTCCTCTATTTTCCCGCTATATCGCTTAATATCGCGCACATTTTGCATTCATACAGTGTTCATTTAATCGCGGACAAAGTGTAGATTTGTAGAATTAAATATTTACCGGAGTGTTAAATGAGATGTTTCAGATTTCAGATGGATAAAGTTTCATTTACACGAACTATTTTCCCTGAAACTCCGGGAAACCAACGATGAGCCGCCGTTGGTGGGTCCTTCGTCGCTACAACGTCGTCAGCAGAGGTGTCCCGCGCGCTGCCTGACAGGAAAACCAGCGTGTAGCTGCGCTGCATGTCCAGCAGATGTCGATAAAAGACCAAAATATTACCAGATGTAATTACAGAGAGACCGATTAGAGGACAGGTCATGTCTTTTAAAACTATTTCTAACCACATTTACTATTTATATTATTATTCTCTTCTTGATGTTTATTATTTCCCATTTATTAACACCATTTAACCTTATTTACTCACATCCGGTTACACATATATCACATTGAATAATACATATATTTTATGCTCTCACTGATGCACTCCATGAATACACTATCATTGTTGTACAGTCAAAGACTGTTTTTTTCTTTGTCATGTCCATTTGTTGTTTTTTTTCTTTATTTGTTTTGAAAACTAAAAGAAATCTAAATTGAAGTAAGATTTAATAAAAATAATTTTTGTTTGTTAGGTTTTTGTTTGTTTGTTTGCTTGTTTTTAAATGCGGCTTTATTTAAGATCCGGCTCATCACTAATTGTGTGACTAGATGTTTCAAATTTATTCACATGACATTTTAATTTAATATAAAATATTTATTATTATTATTATTATTATTATTATTATTATTATTATTATTATTATCTTTAAAGTGTTGGGATCAGGTATATATATTATGTCATTTAATGTAATCTAAAAATATCTATTAGTCTGGCATCATTGTTCTTAAGCTGTGTTTAAGTGAGTTATTAATAATTTAACAATGTATTTCAAACCATTGTTATAGCTTCCTGGAAGTGTTGGGATATGGAAAAAAAAACATACAGAGTAATTTACATCATTATGTGTGCATTGATTTAATTTTTTACATTTTTTGATCATCGTCAGAGTGCTGTGATTGTGGTGAGCTGATATCCAGAGATAAACGTTGTTCCTCCGCATGTTTTCTCTCACACTCACACACACCATCATAGCTGTCTGCTGGACTATTCAACATTTCTGCACTTATCTATTGCTGTGGTGCCTTTTTCTTTTCTCTGGAGTGGAAATATACTTGAAGACTTCCAGTCTTTCTGACAATATTCAGCACCTGCTCTGATGGATTCCCAGTCCCATGGTCCATTTAATGTGTTGAGTGAACCAGAAAATGAAAACTGAGCAGAATTGTTTTCCAGGCAACCTGGTGAGCGAGAGTGTCTCACACATTTCAAAACACGCTGAAAAATCACCCCTGCAGCAGACCAATGTTGAGCGTCATAGCCTGGGAGCTTTTATTCTCAAAAACGTTTCATTTATGTCTCACATTTTGAGGTCAGAGGTCAGTGAGCTCTGTTCTAAAAACAAAATACAATGAGGATAAAATGAGTTCTACATGACCCGCGTGTGCTCAATTTTTCTTGTTAATGTAATTCAGGATTAAACATTTTAAGAGGACAGCAAGAAAATAGCATGAATGCTTTCGATCAATATAGAAATATTCCAAGCTCAGTTTGCAGCCTTTTTGTGCAGTGGGGAAAAATTGCAAATGCTCCAGAACTCTGAAATTGTAGTGGCTCAGCTCTTCTGAAAATCTTCTTTAAGGAACTCATTCAATTGTTAATGTAAAGCTGGAGAGAGAACTTCATTAGGAGGCTGTCTGTTGGCTCGCTTTCAAAGTAAAAGCATCAAAGGTAAGATTTTTTTTTTAAAAGGATTTTTTTTTTTTACCTACTCACAACAAAAACACATTTATATTTACAGACAATATATGGATCCTAATAATATATATTTATTAGTTTTGTCTCCTGGTGCTGCTTTCCTCTTTTCTGTATATCAGATCCTATTCATAGAATGTAAATTGTTGGAAATGTCAATAGTAATAAGAAGCAAAAGTGCATGTTGGAATTGTTCTTAAATTAAGATGTATTAGCAGAAGAAGTCAAATCCACATTTGTGATTGCTCATGCTGTCATTTTCTTTTAAATCCTAAACATCCCATATCCAGTGCTTCTCTAAATAAAGCAGACAGCAGAGTTTCTCTTATGCTACAGGACGGCATAATGATGTTGGGGAGGCAGCCAGCATAATTATGCACCATCATGAACTGATGATTCAGCAAGCAAGACTACATTTAAAAAATAAAAAATAGCTTCCATCATGATGTTTTTCAACCTTGAAAAATTCACATGGGTATCTCCTGTACTTATAAACTAATTTCCCAGTGACTGGGCCTTTCAGATACAGATGTCTTTATGC